CCACTGATTTGGATATGGCTAAACAAACTGTACTGTGTGAATGAAACAGAATATTACTGTTTTGTAAGAAACTATGCATGTGATGAATACAGAAAAGCATTGTCCAACCTACAATAAAAGAGATTTAGGCAAAAGCAAAGACTTAAAAGAACTGATGCAGAGTGAAATAAACACAGCTAAGAAAACAGTATATAGAATGACAACAAAATAAATGGAAAAAACAACCACAAGACAATCATATGTGAACGTTGCAAAATTACAAAAGCATAGATCCAAAGAAGAGATGAGAAGACTCTAGCTCTGACTCTTTTGCAGAAGAAATAGGAGGTCCACAGATGTGGAAGATTTTATATATATACACATTTTAGATTTTTTTTTTTGATACATTGACCATTTTTGCTGAGGGGCATGGGGAAATTCAAGTGACATAAAAATAAAAGATATTATAAACCTCTATGTATTTAAAAAATTGAAGACTTAAACAAGATCTTTATCTCTACCACTTACTAAACTACATGAGAGTGGGAAAGTCATTTAACTCTGACCCTTGGTTTTCTAATCCATAAAATGCAGATTTTTATGACCTACTTCACAGAGCTGTTAGGAGCAAAATGCTCTGAAAATAGTAAATGTAGCAATAAGAACAACTGTTTATATTGATCATACTTCTCAATTTTACTACAGGTTTGCTTTGCTCTCAGGCAAAAGAAAGAGCAGCTCTCTTCTTATCTTCTCTTTTATATATATATATATATATATATATATGTATATATATGTACATATATATACATATATATATATATATATGTATATATATATACACACACATACACACACAATACCCTCTTCTCCTCCAAGAACTCCAAACTCAGGCTAGACTATTAACACTATAGCTTAACTAGTTATCTCTTAAATAGGATCTTGTGAATAAGTCTAAGAAATCACTACACATTATAACATTGTTTCTATGGGAAAATGCATTTTTAATTTCCAAACCATCATTTTCCAAAGTATTACAACACAACCCAACTAGTGAGTTATCAACCATACAAGGTAGGTTACTCTTAGTAGGTAAAACAGAATGAGATCATTCCTTATATAGTTGTATCTTGTTCCTTAAATACACACTTTGTGAAAATATAAAAACATATATGAAAATATTCAGAGTTCACACGCACTTAAACCATATTTCTTTTTGAATACTCTAATTTGGATAAATCAAACTACATTAAAATGATTAGCTTTGAAAGTAAATTTTTAAAATAGTGCCTTTCTTTTAAAGTCAAGATTAATCTTAACCAAAATACCTTATTAGGGTATACTGTAACATCACAAGTATTTAATGATTACTCAAAGAATGAAGTAATAGTTTTACTACATATTAGCTTCTGAGCAACAGTGAAAATCTCAGCAGGAAAATAAAGCAGGCAACACTGACACGTGTGGTCATTCTGAGATTGCCAATTTGCAATCTTAAAAGTTAAGCTAATCCTTAAACTATCTAATTTAATACAAAAGCAAAACAACACAAACATTAAACCTTTTTCAAATAAAAATACTAGAAAGTAAATATATATATATGTGTGTATGTACGCGTGTACATGTACACTGGTAGTACAAAATAGTTTCCTTATAAATGTGAAAAGATTTACCATTTACTCAGAAAATAAATTTAAAATTATATGAATTAAATCTCAGATGAAAAAATTTATAAAAGGAAATTTGTTCTATTTCACTGAAGAAAACGATAACCGCAAAATTTCACATGAATGCCAGCAATGAAGCTTTTAAAATGTTAAAAACAACTTAAAAGTTATTATTAAATACTATCACAATTTATTGGATTAAATCATTTTAAAAAACGGAAATACCTCTATAACCAAGGAGTCACATTTCCAAAGTAGCATCATCAGAAATAAAAGAGAAACACTACAGATGAGTAACATCTGACTTTCAGAACTGTTACCTAACTGAAAACTTTTGCAAGAGCTTTACTAAATAACAATTTAAATATTTAATATCAAATAAGCTTTTACATGTAAAAATCTAGATTACAGGTATACGCCACACAACATTACTCTAACATCATTTCCCAATAATATTACACATTATAAATAAACCCACCCAATCAGCCCTGTGATGAACACTGGAGATAAAAGATAAAAATTAAAAGTGTTTGCCCTCCAGAAGCTTAAATTCTACAACAGTAAAAGGAAAAGTACAAAATATATACAAAGTATATGGAAAGTAACTGGGAGAGGGTATGGGTGTCCAAGTGGCAACCAATCTGAGTCTTGAAGAGAGCTAGAAATTCCGAGAGAGAGAGAGAGAGAGAGAGAGAGAGAGAGAGAGAGAGAGACAGAGACAGAGACAGAGAGACAGAGACAGAGAGAGAGAGAGAGAGAGAGAGAGAGAGAGAGAGAGAGAGAGAGAGAGAGAGAGAGAGGGAGGAAGGAAAACATTCCAGTCATAGGGCACCTAACAGCTTACCGGCCCAGAGGTTGAAGAAAAAGGAATGTCACGAACAGGAAGCCACAACTAACACCCATGTGACCAAGTATCAGCCAAAGCACTTAGCATAACACTTCATACATTTAATGTTTAATAAAAAGTTTCAAGAAAATTACTCATTTTGTTGGTCGGTGGTACAGTGGATAATGTTGTTGGGCAAGCAGTCTGTAAGACCTGAGCTCAAATCTGATCTCAGATTCTTACTAGCTGTGTGACCTTGGGCAAATCACTTCACTTCTGTTTGCCTCAATTCCTCATCTGCAAAATGCAGATAATAATAGTACCTATTCCCTAGGGTCATTGTGAGGTTCAAATAAGATAATAATTATAAAGTGCATAGCACAATGCCAGTCTGGCACATAATAAGTGCTATATAAATGTTAGCTATTATTACTATTCTTATTAACACCTTTATGAAAGGGAGCAGAAGAATATGTTTTTCTTTTTGGAAGCTTTGAAAAGGTTTTTATGGAGAATGAAATTGAAATAAATTGCTATAATAAATAGCAGCTAGGCAGCATAGTGGATAAAAGGCTAGACTTGGATTCAGGAAGACTTGAATTCAAATCATAACTCAAATGACTAAGTCTGTATTACTTAACCTCTCAGCCTCAGTTTCTTAATCTGTAAAAATGAAAATAATAATACCACCTACCTCCCAGGGTTGTTGTGAGTATCAAAAAAGATAATATGCTAAATTCTTTGCAAACCTCAAAGCACTATACAGGCAACAATTATTATTTTTCGAATTACCGACAAAATAAAAGGATTTTGGGACTTCATTCATCCATTCAATAGCTCTTCCCCATAGTTATTTTTAAAATCACCACTCAATACATAAAAAAATATATATCATTTACAGGTGACATTCTTGTGTTTCTGAGTTTATCCTGTTTCTGTACTCTATATTATCACACTGTCTCTTGAAACTAAAATTTATGAACAGGTTGATTCCACAATTTGTATATATACACACATACATTTTTATAGGTATGTGTATTCACATGACAGAATCTAAGACTCTACCAAATCATCCCCAGGAAGCAGGAATTCATTTTCTGGACCTAAATGGATTAATCTCAAGTGTAAGTACTACAGAGGTAAATGCTATAATTAATGTTTTCCTCATACTAATTATTGCTTTTGGAGAACCAGTTATTTTAGGGAAGTACCCTGAGTATTACTAAGCTCCTCAATTTTATCTTGTAGTTAAAATAGAAAGTAGCTGGAGTTAGAAAACCTGGATCTGATGGTCACGATGTGATTTTGGGAAAATCATTTAATATCTCTAGAACTCAGTTTCCTTCTCATTAGTTATCTCTCAGATTTCTCCTTCTGTCCTAAAATTCTCTAATACTAATACAAATATGAATAAATAAATATATATATATATATTAACTAAAAATTTTAAATGGGATTACATATAGAACTTGAAGATAAAGCTTATCTTAATGCACTTGAGGAGATAAGATACTTCCACAACAGTTTAAGGATGTGCTCAGTACATGCTCTGGGATTTCTAGGAACCAGTTATTGTTCTAGACCCTTGGCGCTAAAACTGAAAATGGAAGCTATTACAAAGCCAATTTTCCCTAAGGCTTTCCAAAAAAAAGGGGGAGAGGGAGGGATGTAAGTCCAGAAGGACCGAGGTTAATATCTAAGTTACTACAAATTTGCAAGAAAATGACACTCAGCCATTCTGAAGTTTTAAGATATGTGAATAAAATCAGTAAAAACTCATTAACACCCATAAAGCATCTTCCTCCAATAAGCTCCCCCTGATCTTCCAAAATAATACACAGAATAACATGCTTTTTTTAAGAAAAAGAAATATAAGTTTTAAAAATCTGACATTAGAGACAATAATAAAGGACTACCCTCAAGCACACCAGAAAAACAAGGTAAAACAACGATGACAATTTTTTTTAAACAGGCTACCTTATATCCTGATGTCAGTAAAAAAATTAAAACTAAGTGATTTAGATTAACTTCAGAAATAAGGAAAAACTTCTAAAGCTTTAGAAGAGAAATGTGAGTGGTACTCTTTGGGTCTCAGATATGAAACAGCAAATGAAAAAATTCTGGGGATGAAGAATGGATGTCAAAGGAAGAAACTGTAAAGCTGGTGCTATAAGGGTTAAACCAAACTAAGTTACATAAAAAAAGCTTTACTTCTTACGCACTGCAGAAGTGTGTTAGGAATATGAAAACTAATATCTAACATTAAAAGCATTTAGAAACCCAGTTTGGGAACAAAGAAAAAAATGAGAATAATCTGAAAAAATAAACTCATAAACCATGTTATTTCATAATCATCCCACTTTCATATTATTCACTCATCACTATACTTGTACTGAATATGGATCATATTCACAGAAGTAAAACCTCCAAGCCTCCTCCCTGCCTTGCTTGGGATTTTAGTCAAAATGAATGCAAACAATCACGTGGGATTCAGCCAAGCAGTGACGTTAAATTCTGCTCTGTCAGAAGACAGCATCTGTCAAAGCCCACATTTAAACTGCTGCCTGCCCGTGCAGCAGCTGAGGAACCATGGATTTCATTTTATAGAGCAAAATCTCAGTAAAACTGCTCAAAATCCTTCCTGCAGCTGCTTGGCAACAATGAAAAGAAGAGAGGTAAATCCTATTATTTTTCAATAGACTCAGACCAGTACATTCTAGCTCTAGCTGCTTCACATTGCAGCTCAGCACTAAAAATATGGATACTGAGAAGAGAATACAGCACTGCATTGTCCGACAAGGAAAAAACGAGATGTAAAAAGCTTCAATGCATCAATTGTGGGGGGTAGACAAAAGTGCTCCAAATAGAACGGACAACTAAAGCTCTTTGTTTAAAATTTAAAAGGAAAAAGAAAAAAAACAGGAACACCTCAGAAGACCAGCACACATATGAACAAGAAAGGTAACTCGGAGACAAGCAGACAGATGGACAGATTGGATCCTATGAAAAGCAATCGCAGGAAGCAGACTGTTGGGGGATGTGCGCATGTTCGATAGCATCTTTTTTGCTGAAGTGATGGCGTGCCAAAAGTATTTTCAGTGAGCATAATCCTCTCACCATAAATGGCTTGACCAAGGAAGGTATGTCAAAACATTGTGTGTGATATTAATTTGATTTTGTTACCTTTACAACCCTAGAGGCACAGAGTACTATGCTTAACATTTGAGTTCTATAAATTACTATGTTAAAATAGATAAAGGATTTCTAATGTACACATTTTTGGTTTTGTATTGTTTTGGAGAAGAAAATATAATATTGTTTTATTCAGATAAATATGTAGTTTACAGTTATTTTGTAGTACGTAAGTACAAGGGGAAAGAAATTGAAAATACTAAAACAGAGGTACTTGCAGAATTCACTGGGAAATTCAACTTTAAAAAAAATCTCCGGGGGGTGGGGGAGGTGGGGAACAGACGAAGAGAATGGCACAGTAAAGCAATCCTTTATCAACTGAGTTCATCCTGAATCATTATCTCAACAAAATTAAAGCAGTGGTAAAAATGGCTATATGACCCTATCATCAAACCATCAATCTATGCCATGTAGATAAATTATACTAAGCACCTTTAAATTGTAGTACTGTGAGCTGTTTTTTTTCCCTATACTTCTTTTAAAATATAAAAATGTCATATTAAATAGTAGCCAAACCTAATTTCGTAAATCTGTTTTCTCTTGCATTACCCTCACAGTAAATGTAAAAAACAGTGGTCTTATACAGTAGTCCTATTAGTTACCAGACACAGTTTATGAGTACTACTAAGCTGAAGATACCAAAGCAGAATCTTGACTATAAGATGGAAGTAACCTACAACATGGCACCACAATAAATTGCCCATTTTCCTATTAATGGCTAAAATGCAACTCTGAACAAAAAGACACTAATATTATGCAATTAAAATAATTTGACTTGACACAATCATCTTTTCTCTCTTAACATCGATATCAGAATTCAAAGAAATATGCAGAATCCAAGTGATTTCTTCTAAAATTTACCAATAAATCAAACTAAGGAATTTGAAAGTTAAAATGTGTTTACTATGCTACAGGCTATGCTAAAATGTAATAAAACCAGTGCAACTCTGTGTACTAAACCAAATATGTCGAAATCCAATTAACTATTTTAGCAAGTTACTATTAGAGTGAGAATGGCTGTTAAAGATTCCAAGTGTATTTCTCAAACCTAAGAAAATTAGCAAGGTTCAACATGGTGAACTTTTCTTACAATCACTAAAATTGCTAAATAGGGTGACGATATTAACTAATAACAAAAGGTGAACAACGTAAGAATTAAACAGCTTACTAAACTCCAAGGTCTATTTTTGATTGATTTTTAGCATGGTGCAATAACAATTACTACTGCTTATCATTTAATTACCAACTCTCAATCATCCTATCAATTTTTCTTCTAATAATGAGTTATCTCAGGAACTAAACACAAAAGTGGACGTATTAAAGTACAGAGTCAAGACCCTATTTAGATTCTATTATCCTAATAGTTAAATAAACACAATTCCATTAGCAAACTACAAACTAAACATTTCAAAATAAAATTAACAATATCTTTAAAAGCTGGGGCATTTAAATCTAGCACTGTTTAAGTAAGAAAAAGGACTAAAGAGAACAGTTTTCAGAGGATAAATGAAAATACACTGAAATGATATTTGCTATTATACGGAATTTTAAAATAACAAAATGCAAACATCAAAACAAAAACATTTCACATAGTGAAATGAATATATTTCCCAAGGTACCACATACTTTTTAAAACAAAGTTTTAAAGGCAATTGAATAAATACCACTACCCTACTACAGAATGCAGAAGCCAGATTTTGACAGTTGGATAGTACCTAAACTACTCCAGTATTTTAACATGTAAAATATGAAAATTTTGAGAAGAGAAACAGAATGGCATTTATCATAAATTTTCCTCATCATAATGAATAGCTTTAAACAATTTATTTTTCATAAAAAGTATGAAACACTTCAGAAACTTCTTATCTTAAAGAGCTATACACATTCTTACAGCTGTTTATTTTTAGAAGACTATGAACAAATCGAACATATAAACTTCAAGTTTTAAAAGCCTATCATCTACTCATATAATTATATTAGCATATATAAGTAAAGATATAGATTAACATTTAGCATATGTATATAATTTTAAACTAATGAGATTCTACAAGCATAAAACATTATATTCAGTTCTGACCATGAAGTTGCACAGAATGCTTTCCATGAATGGGTGTTTAAAAAAAAAAAGATCTATAGTTCTTGGCCTTATCCGGTTTTTAAGCACAAGAATATCAAAAACAGACTAATAAACTGTCACATAGTGTAATAAACAAGTAATAAATAATTTGGGGCTCTGAAATTTTAATTGGTGCCTTGACCCTTCCACAGTTAAAAATTTAAAGAAAAGTTCATTTCCTCAAAATAAAAAAGAACCCATGGAATTTAAGAAATCATTCCTTTGAAATTAAAATGGTTAGATGTAGTTTCCCATCTTAGTATACATGTAGGCCAAGTGTTTACAAGTTGAGTGGGGAGACTTTCTAAATCAGAACGTTCAGCACTAACTTTTACAAGGCTTAGCCTTAGGAAATACTTTTGTGATGAAATAAGATAGCTTTGCATTTTCTTTATAACAAAATCATGTAATTACATTCCAATTTAAAAAAATTTACACAAAACATCTAGTCATAAAATTTTTAAACAACTCCAATTCTTTCGTTAGTTATGCTGAAAATGCAAAAAATAAAATTTTCACCAATGAAAACTGCTATAAAAACTCAAAATACTCTGTAAACTTAGAAACTTGAAAAAATCACATAGTATGGCCTGTATAGTACGTAATACTTTAGAAATCATGGCTAAAATTTCCTATTTTCTTGCTCCCCCTAGTGGCTGTTAATAAGATAGTCACAAATTATTTTCATTCATACACTTCAACCACTTCATGGAAGTATCAAGCTTACACATGAATGACAGGAGTAGATTAAATAAAAATTTTCACTTTGTATCTAAGTTTCTACTTCCTTATAAGCCCATTTCTCCTCTTTGTCAAGGTAAAAGAAACAATTAACCATAAATTTAATATAATCAAAATCTAACAGTTCACATACTATCGAATTTACCAACATTAAAGTTATCCATAATTAATTATGAACAATTAGATATTCTGAATTAATCAAAAAGATGTGAGAATAGTAAGTAAATTACAAATTTAACAAAAATATTTTGTAGCTTTTTAGTGGAACTCATGCTATGAATTACTTGTTTTTTCTTCTGCACTCAGAACTCCTGGGTCCAGAAATAAACTAGAGTAATATTACAAACAAATTTGTACCGTGCAATAAATGGCCTGATCTTGGTAAGTGACTAGGTTTTAATATGCAGCATTATAAATTCACCACAATGATTTCCCTTAAACTTCAAAAACAAATGTAGGCTACAATGTGACTGAAAGTTGTAATTATATAACTTTCTATGTACAAATAACTGAATTTTAAAAGTTTTTGAGGTTAACTGTATATAAAACTATGACTACAGTAGTAGCCATATCCTATGCTTTACATTATACAACAAGTTACTGAAAGTAGTTCTTTATTCAATTCTATCATGTAGATGTAATTGTAAAACCATCTGTCTTATCAAAACTATAGACAACGAAAAATAACTGAATGTTAGATTTCAAAATTAATATGAAGACCCAGGCAACAAAATGTTCCTAGAAAGAAAACATGGTATGGTAGAAAGAAGGATGGATTGAGAGAAGAGAGAGAAGTGGTTCCTTGTACTAGCCCTACCACTAACTAGCTGTTTGGCTGTGAACAAATCATGTTATAATTCTGGGTCTCAGTTTCCTCTAGAAAATGAAGGGCTGTGGTTAGTTGATGAATCAAAAAGTAAACATTTATTGTTTACCATGTAATCACTGAAAAAAAAAATTCTGAATTTTAAAGTTTATGAGTATGTTTTTAAGTAGTTAAAATTATTCATCATTTCTTGCTGTCTAAAAAGCCCAGCACAGAGGTTACTAGACCCTGAAAATTAATTTTGACAGGTGCATCTTCTCATTGACTTTCTGAACACAGTAGGGGCCAATGGAAACATGCCAAGCAGTGTACTGTGACTAAATGAACTTTGCTATAATCAACCTTGTACCGTCTGTCCCACTACTAATACATGACCATTTTACAAAAAAAGGCAGCTGACTGTGCACCATACTACCCCACTGTATGTCAAATCAATTTTAATTAATACCAATAAACCTTCCATATGCTATCAAGGCATTTTTCAAATGGCCTCTCACAGGACATAGAGAATAATTTTCTCCTCAAAATGGGTACAGCTGCTTTAAGTCATTAACTTGTGTCAAAAGTAAAACTACATCAAGAGCTTCTGTGAGCAACAGAAAATGGATGGAAAGAAAATCCTTTTTAACAAGAAGTTTACTCAAAGATAGTGGTTTTGGCTCATTTAAGTGGTTTAACTGGATGAAGACAGTTATAATTCAATTCAGTCATTTACTGTGTAATCTACTTTAATATAATACATTAACAAATTATTTCAGTATATTTTTGTAATCTTTTTTCATATAAAAAAAATTAAGTTTACTAAAATCTGTAATTTCTAGTCAATCTAACAAAAAAAAATGCAGAACATTTTGAAATATTCTATTTTTCACTTTTACAGAGTGATTGAAGAAGAAAGCCCTTTAAGATCAGACACAATTTAAAAATGATTACCAAAGAATAGCACTGGTTCAGAAGAGGGAATCATCATTTTGTTCTACCATTATCCCATATCCCATTATTGGATATTTACAACATGCTTCAGTGGAGGAGACGACACTGCTGCTTTGCAAAGATGACCTGGAATGCCAAGAGGTCTTTGTTTCGTATGCATATCATTGGTCTACTCTCTCTTGTCTTTCTTTTTGCTATGTTTCTTTTTTTTAATCATCATGATTGGCTGCCAGGCAGAGCTGGCTTCAAAGAAAATCCTGTAACTTATACTATACGAGGATTTCGATCTACAAAGGGCGAGACAAACCACAGCTCCCTAAGGAACATTTGGAAGGATACAGTCCCTCAAACTCTAAGGCCTCAAACTGCTACTAATGCCAACAACACAGACTTGTCACCACAAGGAGTAACTGGTCTAGAGAATACACTCAGTGCCAATGGAAGTATTTACAATGAAAAGGGTACTGGACATCCAAATTTGTATCATTTCAAGTATATCATAAACGAACCTGAAAAATGCCAAGAGAAGAGACCTTTTCTAATACTCCTTATAGCTGCAGAACCTGGACAAGCAGAAGCAAGACGAGCTATTCGACAAACTTGGGGAAATGAAAGCCTGGCACCTGGAATTCAAATTGCTCGCATTTTTTTATTAGGCTTAAGTGTTAAGTTGAATGGCCACCTTCAGCGGGCCATAGAGGAAGAAAGCAGACAATATCATGATATCATTCAACAGGAATATTTAGATACTTACTATAACTTGACCATTAAGACACTAATGGGCATGAACTGGGTTGCAACCTACTGCCCACATATTCCTTATGTTATGAAAACTGATAGTGATATGTTTGTCAATACTGAATATTTAATACATAAGCTATTAAAGCCAGATCTGCCTCCTAGGCACAACTATTTCACAGGTTACCTAATGAGAGGGTATGCACCCAACCGCAACAAAGACAGCAAATGGTATATGCCACCAGATCTCTACCCAAGTGAGCGTTACCCTGTGTTCTGCTCTGGAACTGGCTATGTTTTTTCTGGAGATTTAGCAGAAAAGATCTTTAAAGTTTCTTTAAGCATCAGACGCTTGCATTTAGAAGACGTATATGTGGGGATCTGTCTTGCCAAGTTGAGAATTGACCCTGTTCCCCCTCCCAATGAATTTGTCTTCAATCACTGGCGCGTTTCTTACTCAAGCTGTAAATACAGTCACCTAATTACCTCTCATCAGTTCCAGCCTAGTGAACTGATAAAATACTGGAACCACTTACAACAAAATAAGCACAACGCCTGTGCCAATGCAGCAAAAGAAAAGGCAGGCAGGTATCGTCATCGCAAACTGCACTAGAAAAGACAATTTGTATCCCATGTGCAATCTGTAAATATTGCGGAAAGCATGTAGAGTAAAAACCAATGAGCTTCATGGGGAAGTTTTTAGTTAATTCCCATCACAGGATGGAATTAAAAATATTTTTTTAATTTCTAAAGAGTTTAATTCTTAAGACAAAAAACAAACAAAAAAACCCCCAAAAGGTATCCTAAGAGAATCTGTGAAACAAACAGCATAAAATCCTTATGTGTGCTAATATGCAGTAATAAGCAGGCACACTTCAGTCGCACGATTTCTAGTTTATGTGCCAATAAAATATAATCCACTCTATTTTCCACACAAAGTGTAGAGAGATGGAGTCACAAAACCCACTTCATTTCTCAATCAGTTTTCTGTTATAAAGAATTACTGTAAATAAAAACATATACAACCTGTTTTAAGAAAACTTAAAACTGTACAAAGAAAAAATTTTCTTTGGTCTACTACCCTAAAGTATTTTCATAGCTACACTCCATGAAATAAAACTTAGTTCAATTATCCCATAAAACATTTACAAAGATCAAAAATTTTACAACACAGGTCTCATCAAGTTACTATTTTAAACTACTGAAATAATCATTTTAATTTAACACTGCTCACAAAGAACAGAAGTATTACTTTGATATGTCATGTGAAAGAATGTGACCATCAGTGTGTCTCAGGCTAAAGTTTAAAAACAAAAGTCACTGAACAGCACCACGTGCACAAACTCTATTTCTTTCTGAGTATGTCATATTACTAACAGCATTCCTTTCTTAACTCATTCAACTAGATCTGCTTATTGCAACTCTCCTAACGAGTGCCATCTTTTAGCAGCAAATGTATTTGATTCTAAAAGATTTGTCATGTTCCTTTAAATGAAGGAAAAGTGGAAAAACAACAATGGGGATGTATTATTGAAAAGGATGAAGAGTGCAGAAGCAGTTTCATTCAATACATTTTAAAGATGCATGTCTGCCAAAGTGCAGCATATGGGAAGCTCATTTCCTGACAGCAGGTGTGCACATGCTGATACTTAATCATTTTATGGCACTATTTCTGTTGTCAGAGTGCCAAGTTTACAACCCTACAATTTTGATTTTCGGGATAACATTCTGCATCCTCAAATAAGACCTTTTTGGGGGTGGGGGAGCCGTACAAATGTTTGATGAACATTTGATTCTAGTACTAAAAAATGTGTATGATGCACTTTTATCAAAGTTTTTAATAAAAAAGAGTAAACAAGAAACCCAAAAAAGCTTTGTTGAGTTTCATGAGTACAACGAATTCATAATAACTCCACATCCTTTGGTCACTAATTTGAAAATGAAAAGAAACTAAGTTATCATCATGACAATATCTAGTTACTTCCAAATCATTTCTGATATATAAATATATCAATCTTCATTTAAAATAGATGTCATTTTTTTCACTTTGATTTTTTAACTGTTTCTTGGACAAAGCATGTGAAAAGAATTTTGATAACTGCATTAAGAAGTTTTGCATTAGACGCTATATTACAGGATCATAGATTTGGAACTGGAAGGAACCTGAAAGTCCAACTTTCATAGATGAGGAAGCTGAAGTACAGAGTAGTTAAGTGACTGACCCAGGCTTTCATAACGAATAAATGTCCAAGATGGGACATGAATTCAGGTCTTTCTGACTCTAGGCCAGTGCTCTATCGATTATGCCATATGAACTATTATTATTTCAAATAATAGAAATAAATTTCCATTGTGTAAAAAAAAAGTTTTGCATTAGAAACAGTTTTTTTTTTTAACATTTCCTTGCTCAAAATTCATGTCCCTGTTTTTCAGATTAGTCATATGTTTAGTATGTTCTACAGGATGATCAAATTTAATCCTGATTCAGGCTTGTTTCTTGTTTTATTTATGAGATCAAAATTACTATATAAGTTATATGTTAAAAGTTATAGGATGTCATTGAAATGACAAATATTTTAAGTTAACACCAATGCTTTAGGTCAAACAAGTAAACTTGATCATCAAAGGCAAATTCAGGAACTTTCCCCAGCGTATTACAAATCCATACACCTTCAATGAACATCATTTTACTATCTGTTCAATTTGTTATTACAAACAGAAACCCTGCATCTATCTTTATGTCTATAAAAATTGATTTTTTTAAATATAAAAGACCTGCAAATTGAATTCTTGAGGGGAGGGAGAATTACACAATTTTCTTCACTTAACTCCTCTTCTTTCATGTAAAAATTTCAAATCATTTCAATATCAATCATGGAAAAAATGTCCCAGATCTTATGTCTCTGAAGAGTTTGAGAATTTTCAAATCAGCAAGTTGTAAAAATATTAAGTTCCTAGGAAGTCACCTATTTATAGTGAAAGTTGTTTTTTTTTTAACTGACTCTTTTTCCTAACTGTACAGTAAGTATTTTATCAGGTAAAAATAATCATCTTTCTTCCCCAAATTGTATCTTTGGTAAAATACATTTCCACTCAAATTCCATACACAGTACAATAATGTTATATATGTATACTTCAAGGATCTGTGATTTCATTAGTGTCAATTCCTTTCATGATGCAGATCAAAAATGCCTTAAAGCCTTAAAGTAAAAAAATGCCGGTGAGTTCCAGGGGTAAAAAAAATATCACCACGTGGCGATGAACCTTTTAGACACTTTGATGAAAGATAGAGTGGATAGTGAGTAACCAATAAATGTAAACTGAAAAAGACAAGCTATAGTCGATGCTTTATTTGGGGGCAATGTACATTAGAAAACAGATGCTTAATAAATGTTTGTTGAATTCAACAAAACAATTCCTCTTCAGAATTATGGAAAAGCATGTCTTAGACCAAAGTTTCCTTAATCAAAGAAGTAAAATGAGGTCTCTGGTCAAAAACAGTCTCAAGGTCACTTCCAATCTATAAATATAATCAAGATTTAAAAATGAGCTTGCCTACATATTTGCCAACCAAGTCTGCTGTTCTTTTATCTGGAAGGAATTAAGAATCAAAAAATGTAAGAATGTACTAAGACTTAACACACCAATTGCCCTAGTTGTGTGTCACTGTAAACTGTAGCAGTTATAATCCATGTAGCAGCAAGAAAACAAACTTCTAGCTCCAGGAATAAATTCCTCTGCATGTGGAATAGGGATCAGGTTTATGGAAGGGGAGAGTAAGGGGGAATTGCAGGAGGAGGTTATTTTGAGGGGGTGGCATGGCCTAGAGAATAATATGTCATAGAAGCCTTAAAGAAGCTTGTGAGATTACACAGAACAATTCCATCTTCAGTTCTAACAGAAAGTGGCTAAACTGAGACAAATATCTAGATATCAGTCTGTTCCACTGTCGCACTGAATTTTACAACTGCCAGTTGTAAGAAGATTTTAAGTGTTGAATATTACTTTTGATGGTGCCCTAACCATATAATTAGGCAGCACAGAGTAATAGAAGGGTATTCCTGGACTTGGGACCAGAGGATCTGCATTTGAATCTTGGTACTGCCACCTGTTTGGCCATGGGCAAATCATCTACCTCTCTGGGCCTCAGCTTTCACATAAATGAAAGAATTGAACTCAATCATTCAATCAGTCTCACCAAGTATACATTATATATACATCGACCACATGCCAGGCACTGGGCAGGTATATGGGTTTCAAGACAAAAATGAAACAATTCCAGTTTTTAGGGGGAGAAGAGAAGTGTACATAAATAGTTCATACAAAATAAATACAAGGTATATTCTGGAAGGGAATCAGGAAAGGATTCATGCAGAAGGTGTCATTTGTGCAGTTTTCTGAAAGAAACAAAAGATTCCAAAAGGCAAAGGTGAGGCAGGAATACCTTCCAGGCATGCGGAAACAGTGAGTGCAAAGTCACAAAGATGCGAGATGGTACAACACTTATTGGGGAGTAATGAATAATAACGTTGGAAAGTTATGCTGGGCCAGGTTATAAAAGACTTTAAAAGATGAGTTTATTTTGATCTCAGGAGCAATGGGAAGACGCTGGAGTTCAGTCAGAGTCAGGTTTGGACTCTAGAAAAAAATTTTGGCAAACTGTGTGAAGAATTAACTGAAGAAAGTTAAGTTCCTTCTAGCTCTAAATCTGTGGTTTTACGAATACTACTAAAAGCAACAGTAATTCTACACGAAATTAATACTGAAAAGGAAAATGAAAGGAGCAATAACAATAAGTAAGCTTTTATATATGGCTTTAAGATTTGCAAAGAATTGTACATGTTTTCTCCTTTGGTCCTCACAACAACACTATAACACAGGTGCTATTATCATCCTCATTTTACAGATGAAGAAACTGAGGCTGAGAAAGGTTAAGTGCCTTGCCCAGGGTCATACAGCTAGTGTATGACGTAGCATTTTAACTCAAGTTGTCTTGACTCCAAAAGCACCTCTCTTACCCACTCAGCCACCAAGCTGACTCATTTATTTTCAAATGCATGATTTAATAACAAAATTCTTTTGAACTTAAGTAGATAATAATGCCACCTACTAGCATTAATCAGTTCTCCCAAAATATGAACAATATTTTTATAAACAGCAAGTAGTTCTATGAGATGTATATACACATACAACAAGCAATATGGTGAGACTGTCCAAAGATGCTAGCTGAATGACTTTATGGTAAAGTTTGGCCATAAAACAAATGACTTTATAATGAAATAATATTTTTAAGAGCAAAGCTCAGGAGACAGAATATAGTTGGGAGCAGATCACAGATCCGAGAGATAAAAGGGCCCTCAGAAAACATCCAATGCAACTGATTCTACTTAAGTGACAGGCTCAAGATTACAAAGCACTAAGTTACAGATGCAGAATTTGAATCCAGTTTTACCAACTCTAGGGTTAGTGTTCTTTCCCCTGTGCCTCCCAATGACTTCACAGACAATAATGTAATAAATAATGGCTGGTTTCATGCAGCAGTTAAAATACAAATAAAGTACTCATTTCAATACAGAAAACCAACAAGATTAGCAAGTTGTCATAGAAATAAGCTTGCTAAATATTTAGGATTTAAGCTTATCATTTCAAAAGAAGCTAAATGATAATTGATTATGTTACGTTAAGACT